TCGAGACACCGATGGGCCGACACCATGAGAAGAACTGACGACCGATGGACACTAAAAACATTTGAGTGGATTCCTCGCGAAGCAAAACGTCCCCGAGGAAGACCACCAACGAGATGGGCAGACGTGTTCGTGGAACGGATGGACCAGCTGAGAAATCAGCTGGATACGATTTTTGCACCTGGAACTCGTGGACGCAGTCACCAACGTCAATCAAGAAGAACGTGGATGTCTGAAGCGAGGGACAGAGATTGATAAAACTTTTGTGCTGAGGCGCGCACGCCACGTGAAGACGAACCATCTAACAAGGGAAGCTTGTTTGGTCGAAGTGGCCTTTTCAGATGAAATGTATACCATATTAAAGGGCGTAAAACGTTAATTCCATATTTATTTATTTATTTATTTATTTATTTATTTATTTAATACACTCTGGGTGTGCCGTTAGCAAAAATCAAACACTAATAGTAAACTCAAACGATAGCCAATTAGTCCCAATGAAAAGCAATAAAATATAATATCCGATAAAAGACTCAAGTTTAACTCACTAAATCGTAGCACTAACCAATTGTAAAGAGAATCGCATTGGTAGTGTTGAATATCTTACTGTCTTTCAGAGATAAAGTTCCCATTGTTTTGAGGACCAGCGAGCCTACGGGCGGAGGCTAGCTGATTAAATCCCCATAAAAAACACAGGCTCTCTGAAAGGACAACAAGATAGACAAAGATGAGAAAAGATGAGTCATAACAGCGAAAGACACCAGAAAGACATTTAGTCAACCGATGTAACTATGTTGTGATTCAAATACTAATTATATCAGGAAAACAAATTTTGAAATCGACTTCCCAGTAGGCTAAGCTGGCTAGTCGTGAGCTATCAATATGCAATCAAACAAGAAAACAATAATGAACAATAACTTTTTGTAATACTGTGTGCGAGTGTAGTGGCCAGATCGACCTTCAGCTGTAGCTAGTTTGACAAGAAGTATCTTCAGTCGTAAGGCAACGCAATAAGACAAGAATGTCTAACTGAAAGAAGGCTTTCAATGAACTGAATTCAACCACAAAAGTCAGCAAAATCCTGCAAATCAACTTTCCTCAGTTTTGACTTGAAGGAGGCACTGCTAGAACGATCGTAGAATATCGGAAGGCAGATGTTGCAACCACCGTGCTCCGCGATAAAACAGGTTGTTGTAAGCCAGCAAATATCTTCTTCGTTTTATTGGGAAATAGTGCAGATTAAAAGAGAAGGAGCGTACACTAGCAGGAATGAAGGTCCAATACTTGCTCGCTGAGAGATTAATCTCTTTACGTAAAACTCGAAAACAAAAGATGAGGTCAGACAATTTTCTGCGGTGCTCCAAGCTCCTCATACCATACAGTTTGAGACAATCATTGTAACAAGGAATATCTTTCAGGGTTTTGTTTTTGGAGCATCTGAGATAAAGCAACCGCGTAGTTTGTTGTACTTTTTCTATCCTTTTAATATCTTTCTTCCGATATGGGCTCCATATTTGGGAGCAGTATTCGAGGTGTGGTAAGACATATGTTCTGTACAAGCATTTGAGGATCTTCGGATTCTGGTAGTGTACGCTTCTAAGAATTGCATAAAGGACATTGTATGCCTTCTTGACCACAAAGTCTATATGCGTTGAAAAACTGAGGCAGGGATCAAGAGTAACACCCAAATCTTTAGCTGAAATACACTGTTTGAGTGTGACTCCGTTGATTTCATATGTTGTTACTCTACTCCGCCTGATATGCATGACCGAACATTTGTCGGGGTTAAGGGGAAGGTCCCACTGCCTAGACCAACTAAGCATATTCTCAATTGATTTAGTGAGCGCCATGTGTACTTCATCATAATTGGATGGGTCGTAAATCCCGTAAATCTTGATATCGTCGGCGTACATTTGCACCTTAATCGATAATGATGTTCGTAGAACATCTGGTAAATCCATGGTGTAAACTAGAAATAAAAGAGGAGAAAGCGCCCCTCCTTGAGGTACACCACTCGGACACGAATGCCTTTGAGAATAATCGTAGCCAACTTTCACGGTCATATGCCTGTTCCGTAGATATGACTCAAACCAACAGAGTAGATTCCCTCTAATACCACAATACTCTAATTTCTCGATGAGCTTATGGTGGCAAACTCTATCAAAAGCTTTGGACAAATCAACAAAGATGATGTCCACAGACTGCCCTTTATTTACTGCCATAGTCCAGTCGAAAAGGCTATCGGCTAGATTAGTTGTTGTACTTACACCTTCAACAAAACCATGCTGTTCTTTGGGGATTGTTCCCGATTTCGTCAACAAAGAGGTGAGTTTATTACGCAGAATCTTCTCCACATCCTTTATCTGCAGAACGTTTATGGAAAGGAGTTTTTTGTAGCAAAAAATTAAGCGTGAATTTAGGGTGAAATGAGCTGCTAAAATCTTCCTCGCCCTTAAAAAAAGCAACAAGTGTGATATATTTTCTTATATAAAGTATCTATTAATAAAAATTGCTCCGATAATCATCACTGCCCCATTGAAGCTTTAGAAAAAATATCACGACAACTTTTGTCTTATTTGCGCATGTAATTTTTTGCTCCATAAAAAGCTCATAACTCCTCGTACATAATCGTTCCGCAGATAACAAAGGCAGATATGGAATCAGCGTTTTATGCTCTTTAATGTGATATACATCTTATTTGAAAAGGCCACTTCGACTAAACAAGCTTCCCTTGTAAGTATTTAAGTAAGTATCTATCTTGAGAGGAGGAAAAATCCGTCGGCCCATATCGCTTCTCGATGAATCAAAATTTTGTTAAAGACGAATGCACTTTCTCTCTAATTCAACAGATTGAGCAAATGTAGAAAACATATAGAGCTCGATAAGTCTATGTTGCCACGCGGGTTCAAGTCGAACTACCTCAAGGTAACCAAAATCTTTGTTAATATAAAATACAAGTATTAGTCGACACACTAATCTGAGCAGAGCCCAACCGAACTTGTGTCGATGGTGCTTCTTAGAAAGGACTTGTGGTTCTCAGATTACCCCCCCCCCCAACTTGTAGGAAGAACTTGTAGAAGACTTATCCGACCTAACTCACCCATCAGTATTTATACCCGATCATTTTGACTATACAGGGTGTCCCAAAAGTATGTATCGAACGTTTGATCGCTAATATCTCTCTTCCCAAAAAGTCTTTTGCTTTGCTTCAAGTACCGTTTTGTAGAGCTGGCTTCAACTTAGATTTGCATTATAGACTGAATCACCCATCTCTCTTCATTACTGTAGGATTACGTTAGAAACTTCGAAGAGGGTTTTAAGCAATGAAAGGCCATATTTTGCCCCAGTAAGGAAACAAAACAGCCTGAAAGCTTTTACACTAGGCTAATTAGAGTTGCTGATTCTAATTGTAAAGTTTCCAACTTATTATGATGCTTTATTGAAGAGTTATGCCAGGTGAGAGGTAGCGGCCATTTTTTCAATGTTCTTAAAAAGTGCGGTTACACCGTTTAGAAAGCTTCGTAATCTTGTGAATAGTTGAGTATTGAACTCAGCGTCCATAAAAACCCTATTACACAAGTTTTCACAATTTTTTGAAAAATTTTGAAACGGCAGCTTTTTCTACATTGACACCATATGTATCAAATTTCTACCGTAATTTTACAGTAATGAAGAGAGATGGGTGATTCGTTCTACAATACAAATCTAAGTTGAAGCCAGCTCTACAAAACGGTACTTGAAGCAAAGCAAAAGACTTTTTGGGAAGAGAGATATTAGCGATCAAACGTTCGATACATACTTTTGGGACACCCTGTATATGTAATCATTGTTAACTGATACGTTAATGAGCTCGACGGAATAAGGTTCTGTAGTCAAGGGAATGATATACTGATGAGGACTGACTTGTTCACTTGTCTGGCCGACTTCTTCCATTGTGGGATAATGGTCCTACATAAAAGGGTTCATCGAAACAAACAATAAAACACAAACAAAACAGTATATATATATATACAGGGTGTCCCAAAAAAATGTTAACACTGTTTGATCATTAATAACTCCCTTGCTTTCAAGTCTTTCGCCGAGCATTAGGTATCATTTTGTAGAGCGAGGACAAACTCAGATTTACAGTATCGAGCGAATCATCCAACGCTCCTCGTTACTGTAGAATTACGGTAGGAAATTTGACAAGGATTCTAGGACATTAAAGCCCAGTTTCTGCTTCGAAACAGAACCAAACAAGCTAAAATCTCTTTTACTATGGTAATGAAAGCCGCTGATTTCGGATATGAAATTTTCACCTCATTATGATACTTCTTTTCAAGGTTATCCTAGGTAAAGTGTAATAACTGACTTCCCAGCATGTGTCAAAAATGTGATTACAACGTCAAAAAAGCTGAAAACACTCGTAAAAAGTTGTGTAGTAAAATCAGCGCGCGCGAAAACCCTAGTACACGAATTTTCAGATTTTTTGAATAAAATTTTGTCAGAGAGCATATTTCACGACGGTTCCACATGCTGGAATTTCCTACCGTAATTCTACAGTAACGAGGAGCGTTGGATGATTCGCTCGATAATGTAAATCTAAGTTTATCCTCGCTCTACAAAATGGTACCTAAAGCTCGGCGAAAGACTTGAAAGGAAGGGAGTTATTAACGATCAAACAGTGTTAACATTTTTTTGGGACACCCTGTATATATATACAATAGATTTAATCATATTTTTCTTCAACTTCAAGGACGCTTTAGCGACAGCAAATTCGTTAAATGTGAAAAATGTGAAAAAGATAACAATTACTTGGAAACAAATCTTGTTAAGAGACTCACGTTCCAACCAAAATTTTTTTTAAAGATACCTGGAACTGCTTTCAAAATCAACGGTAAATTCAGTCAGGGAGAAATTATTGCCGACAACGGTGGAGTGAAAACAGCCTACAAGGTAATATCATAACAACAACAATCGCCCCAAAAGTTTTTTCAGGCCTACAAAGCTTATCTGCAAAAACTTGGGAGAGAAGAAGAAAGAATTAAATGTGTGGAACAATTTAACAACGAGCAAATGTTCTTTTTGGGCTATGCTATGGTAATTTTTTTTACACACGACAGCATGTTTCAAAGGTTCCATTAAGGTCAGCTGCGAGCATTTCACTAAAGACGCCCTGTTTGTTCGTCTTCGTCACGATCCGCACCCTCCACAACGCTATGAGTAGATAGAGATGAGTTCATCTTTCAAAACAAAGATGGAAACCATTTTTCAGAGTCAACCAAGTGCTAGCAAATCAGCCCGAATTTGCTGCTGCTTTTAAATGTGACGTGGGCAGTGCCATGAACCCTGCTGAACGCTGCGTTGTATGGTAAATTAAAACTGCAACATCAAGACTCGTGTTCAGAAGCCCATGTTTACTACATAACAAAATCAGAATCAATGATGTCGAAGAGAACTAGTGGTGTATATGTGCAAGCAGGAACCTATTTGGCTTAAACCTGAAAATTCTCACTTCAAAATAGTACTGTTGATTATTAGGATGATGCAAAATCAATACATGTTCCTCCCACCGCGTCAGAGTCATAAAAAATGACAAACGTAAAGTTTGAGAAAATGAAATAAGCTTCTCAATATAGCGTTAAAACGCGTGCAAAAAGACTGACACACGGAAATTGAAGTCCAAGTCCAAAAAGCCAGATACTAAAAATCAATATCTAACTAAAAAAATTCTACGAACCTCCAAATCCGAGGCATATATTCTCCACAGCAGCATTCACATGTAAGCTAATGCTGAATCTCGTTCGTGGTTAAACGAAAAGAAGGAAAATAGACGGAAGACAAAAATATCGCCTTTTGGGTTTTCGTCAAACTTCAACTCTCTTATGAACTAGCGTGAAAATCATAAATTTACTCAAAAAGCTTGAGATGCAATAATTCGTATAGTAACAGCTTAGCATCGCTTAGGGGCTGTAACTGACGGTCGTTTGCCATACCTTTGCTCGACGCTGGATGAAACCTTTTTTCAACTTATGTCAGATTCAGTTGGAGAGTGTCTCACTTATTCTCATCAGCTTCACGTGCACACACGGGTCTGGACCTGAGCTTTACCTGTAGAACATCCATGTAACATCGGAGCAAAGCTGGTATGCTTGTATTTTTATTTCCTTTCTTCTTTTACGTTCTTTCTCATTATGCAAGTTTGCCATTAATCTCAGAAGAGGGATGGGATGAGAAGAAAGGGGAAAATTAGGTGAATAAGGAAGATGTGAAAGGAGGAAGGAGAAGGGGACAAGTGCGGGATAAATATTTTTAGGCTTCGAACTTGGAGTAGAGCAAGTTTTTTGCATGATGCAGGAAATAATAAAATTGTTGAATTTTGTTTTAGCAAAAGAAAGATTTTTAACTTCCAAGTTCCGATTTGTTTAAACCTGGGCATTGTTGATAATCTTCTTCAATTTTGCTGTGCCAAACAAATTTGTTATGGTGGCAGCTTTATTCGTATTGGCCTAACGTTTCGACGCTTTCGACGTCGTCAGAGGCCTAAAAACCACCCAAAGCATCATCCACAACATTAGGCTACCAAATGCCTCTTCTTGCTCAGCCAGTTTCGACTTTGTTCCAAACTAGCTCCGCAAAAATGCTCCAGACAAAAATGAACCCACCGTTATGCCACCGCCTTAGAATGAGTCCGCACCCGGAAGGAGTTGACGAATACGACCGGAAAAGAGTGACAGAAGCGGACAAGTGAGCATACTTTGGAAGGCAGATAGAAGGATTCTATCATTTATCTACAGCTCACATAAAACGAACGGCAGGAAGTCGGTGGTAATAGACAAGCACTCGTTTTTGTTATTCATCTCTGGATTTCTGGCGGAAATTCAGAAAGCTTCAGTGCCTTCTTGGTCGAGATCTCTTTCTCGCAAGTCAAGATCTTACATTTAATTTTGAAATCACTTCCATCATGCGCGTCGTTTTTATGTCTTCCTAGTGGTGTTACTAAGCTTCTCATACTTGCTAGATGTTCTCTTAAGCGCACGCTTAACACTCTCTCCGTTTCACCAATGTACAGCGCGCCGCAATTGAGGCACTCAAGTTCATATACAACCCCTACTTTTGCGCATGCCCCTTCTTTCCCATACGGACAAACTATGCATTGTTCGGTTATGCATCTTCGATCATACAGCCGATTTCGTACAAGCTGCTTTTTAATGTTGCTGTTTGGAAAAATGACAAGAACAACGTCGTTTAGCAGCTGTGCGCGGGTAATGTATTGTTGGAAAGCCGAGCTTATCTTATCTGAGATATAGGGGAGGCAGAGTGAAAGTCTGTTTGCTCTAAACGCGGGAATCGCGTGTAAGGCGTTGTGTACGTAGAGGTACTGAATAGCCACTATTGCGTGCAATTTCTGAGGCTAGAGTTCGTGCTTCGCGGCGCTCATCCTCACCCGAACACACCATTGTTGCGGTATTAAACATATTTCCAATCACAGCATGTTTCACACTTCGTTGGGGTGCAGATTTAGCATTGATGAGGAGATTTTTACAGCTATCCTTACGGTACCATCTTAATGTTACAATGCCGTTGCTCAACTTGATTAGCGTGTTCAAATATGGCAGCCATCCTTCTCGAGGTTTCTTGCGCATGAGCTTGATGTACTCTGATCGTTGGTTGAGGATTTAAAAACACTCGTCCATTTCGGATTGTGTTGCGGTGATCAAACAACAATCGTCAATATAAGACAGTACATCAAGGGCATTTGACTTATTATCGGTTCTTCTATTCTGCTCATGAAGCAAACGGCGAGGACCGGGGCCAACCACTGACCCATAGCTAAGCCGCGGACCTGGGAGTTTGGAACAAAGTCGAAACTGGCGGAGCCAGAAGAGGCATTTGGCGGTCTGATGTTGTGGATGATGCTCTGGGTCGTTTTTAGGCCTCTAAGGACGACGAAAGCGTCGAAACGTTAAGCCAATACGAATAAAGCTGCCACCATAACAAACCTGTCTGGCACAGCAAAATTGAAGAAGAAAGATTTTTATTTCTTATATCATCTAATCTGAGTAAGCGACAGCACAAGCAGAGAAAGGCAAGTGAGCTGTAGTCAAGGAGAAAGAGTGGGGCCGAAAAACGTCAAAAGCAACTCCATAAAAATTTTGCTAAATCTTCATGGAGTTGCTTTTGAAGAATCAAAGAGGCTTTGTTGCGAAATCTCTCTAATTTGAGTTGGTGCCAAGCGCTGGTATGGAGTCCTTCCTATTAACAAAGTTTGTGCAGGTTTGCTATTTCTACAAACAATGCAGTGTAACTTAGGTGTCCAACTTTTCTTTGTAAATGGCCAAGGACGAGGTGAGGGAGTTCAGTGATTGGTCAATGGTAGTGGAGCATTCTGATCTGGTACTTATGTCACAAATTCGTGATTTAATGCGCTTGTCAACTATTAAATTACTCTCCATACTAAAACTATTGCCGTATTACTGAGGTATTCTATTCTCGTAGCAAAACAGAAGTCAGAAAAATTAGCTCACCCCGAATGTTTTGTACGTTTTAACAAAGCCATGTAAAACCTCTTTTAATAAAGGCCTAACTTTGCTTTTGAAGTACATTTTTCAAACCATGATCTTCCAAAGGCTTCAAGATAGCTGCATGTTTATTCTTGTTTTTATCTCCTCAAAGTTTGTTTAATTTCTACACAAAGGTTTCTAAAGCTTCGGAATAGATTAGTCATGATATAGATAGAGCAAAGGACTACAGTGCCCTAGGTTCATCCGATTTGCTGCTTGAAGCTTCAAATAATCATTTCTTTGAAGATCAATTTTGAAAAGAAAAAACACAAGAAAACACAGCTGCAGCAATGAAAGCCCAACTGAACTTTCTGCAAATCAATCATGATTGTTATTTAACATCATCCATGCAAATAATCAAGTGTAATTTACTTTGAAGAGTAAGCTTTTTAGAAATTTTAACAGTTCCATGTGTAGTGCCTTTCCGGGGTTTTTTCCCAAATAAAGTATATAGAAACTTTAAAAGCTTGACTTATAAAAATTTGACCGAAAAATTTAGATTGCTTAGTTTACATGACTGTTACCAGCGCCTTTTCATATTGGGATATAACTTGGTGCTTTTTTGTTATCCGACCAACTATTATGGTATGACTTGGTACATTACCGTTATCGACCGGCTTCCCGATATAGGGTGTTGATTCTTTTCTTGTTCCATGTTTGCTCAGACTTCTCAGGATGGAGTGCCATCTGCCACTTGTCAGAAAATGTTTAATATATGGAATGACACGTCAAAAATTGACATTTCGTCCACATATTCAACAGTTTTATCGAAAATTTTTTATTGCATGCCTAACAGTAAGTTTAGCCAGAGTTTTCTGATCGATAATGGCCCTAATTTTGATTCAAAAGCTCTAAAAAAATATTATGCATATAATGTCATCCTACTCAATGAACACACTATATTTGTCACAAACAAAGAAATGTATTGAGAATCCAACATCTAAACGGTAAAATAAGCGGCTGAGGTACTATAAGTCATCATCATATAATTTTTTGGCCGAGTCTGCTTGTTTATTTTGCCTTCCATGAAGGCGCAACACAGCTTTTGAGTCATTTCAAGTGCTCCTGAACCTCACCGCAGTCAATTCTGAAAAAAATGTATGCCAAACTGAAACACAACTTGCTAACTTTTTCCCCTGATGTTTAGAAGAGAGCAGCGAATTATAAAGGATTGTTTCTAAGCCGAAATGCGTACACGAAAACTTATTGAAAAATTGATAGTTGACGAAAAGTTCTTACAATTATTTGAAAATCGGGGAAAATTTGTCGTCACTATCAAACCCAAAGAGCTATGGCAATAAAATTACAACGAAAGCACATATCAGGGAGAAAATGCAGCCATCTCAAAAAGTCAGTACTCGGCACAGTTGGCACCGGGTCAGGCTGGATATTTTTTCGAGGCGGAAAGTATAGGAGATATCGTTTTTGCGGGTTAGATGCCGCGGCCGGCATGCTTACGCTTTATACCCTTGTGCATTAGCATGCCTCCAGTACGCCACTCGGATGCCGTCGGTGTGCCGCCAACATGCCCACGCTAACACAGCGCGGAAATTTCAATTATGCCCCAAACAGACAAAAGCCTTGTACAAACAAAACGTAAGCATATGACACCAAGTTCGGTTTTCGTCTTTTTACATTAATTTCATCTCTACATTGTAAAAGTTTACATACAAAGAATAAACGATTCCATAGTGTTTTGCTTTCGACGTTTTATAGCCATCTGAAATTTTTCGGTCTGCTCCGCAGTCGAATAATCTGCTGTTACAAAGCACGCCCTAAGCAGATGTAAAAGAAGTCAAAGGGGACTTCATTTTGCAAATTAGCTGGGTCGAGTAATCTTTGTGCGTTAACTCAAAGTTAACTCTCTTAGCTGGGCCGGTAGTAATCTGCAATCATATGACACCAAGTTGCGTTATTTTTCATCATATGACATCAAGTTTAGTTTCGTTCTGTACTTGAGGAGCCGACACACGCTTCACGAGCAGTTAAATCGGGACTCGAACTCTCTTTGCT